TACATGGGAAGTATCTTTGGTTATCTCGCTTTCTGTATTGTCTACAAGTGGTGCACTGACTGGTCTGGTGCTAACCCACCAAGTTTAATGAACATGCTTATCAATATGTTCTTAAGTCCAGGTTCTGTTAACGAAGAAGAAAAGTTATACAATGGTCAAGGTATTATTCAACTTGTCTTATTACTTATTGCCGTTGTTTCCATCCCAATCTTATTATTAGGTAAGCCAATTGCCCAAAAGATTGCCAACAAGAAGACTGTTGAAGAATTACCAATTGAAAACGAAGTTGTTGCTATTTCTGAACGTGACTACAAGAAGCCAGAATGGTCTTTCGCTGATGCTTTCATTAACCAAGCTGTCCACACCATTGAATATTGTCTTTCTGGTATTTCTCACACTGCTTCTTACCTTCGTCTCTGGGCCTTATCTCTTGCTCACGGTCAATTATCTGAAGTTTTATGGGATATGTTATTAAACAATGTTCTTAAGATGGACTTAAACGTTGTCATTAAGGGTATTGCTTTATTCCTTATCATCGGTGCCTGGTTAGGTTTAACTGTTGCTATTTTATTAATTATGGAAGGTCTTTCCGCTTTCCTTCACGCCCTTCGTTTACACTGGGTCGAATTCAACAGTAAATTCTACAAGGGTGAAGGTTACAAGTTTGTTCCATTCTCCTTCAGAAAGATTTTAAAGAAAGAAGAAAACTAAGTTGTCTTTTTTTAAACCTATATAATTAATTTAAGAACACACTATTTATTCAATATAATTTATTGAAAAAAAGCAACTTTAGAGATTTTTTTTTTTTACTTCTATATATTTACATTTTTTTAAGTTATTTAAATAATTTCTAAGTTAAGTTTTGAAATCTATTATATTTATCTTAGAGAAAGAAAAAAGAAAAAGATACAAAAAAAAGAAGCATTAGAAATTATATAAAATAATAATGAAACAAATATTTTTTTTTTTTCCAGTTTACACTTTTTATTTATTTTTAAATCTATATGGTTTTTTATATAGAGGAAAAATGAAGTAAAAAAAGTAATGAAGAAAAAAAAGAATAGTTGAAAGAAAATGAAAACAAATACGTATTATAGAAAGATAAAAAAAATATAAAAGAAAATAGTTATAAAATAATAAAATAAATTTAGAGAACAAAAAAAAGAACTATTTTTTATTTTTTTATTTTTTCATAGAGTTTTTAAATTATTTATTTTCTATTCTATTTTTCAATTATTATTTTATTCTTTATTTTTTTTTCTTTCCATGTTTTATAAATTTAGAAATTATTGGTAAAAGATAGTAAAAAAAAAAAAAAAAAACAAATATTTAATTTATATTACAATGTTTTTAAACAAATGAACAAAAACTAAAAAGTAATTTATACGCATTATAGAAAAAATCAAAAAAAAAAAAAAAAAAGTTTTAATAATAGTATTTATTTAAAAATAAAATAAGAAAAAAGCAAAACAAAACATTTTGTCATCTTTTTAAAAAAGTTGAATTATTTTAGTGTATATGGAAAGGTGTATAACCATAATTTAAGTGTAAAAAAAAAAGAAAAAAAAGGAATAATTTGATTCCTATTGATTTATTTACACAAGCAATGTTTATTATTTCTATTTAATAATACTGAGCGCTACTCATGCTCATGGTACTGAGAGAGTAGAAAAAAAAAAAATTTAAGTATCGCGAAATGGATGTTTGGTTAGTCTTTATAGGGAAAAATAGAAGGACTAAGCTCATGGTACTGAGCGATTAAAAAACATTTATCCATCGAATTTAAGTTATTTTGATGGATAAGTGGAATATTTGGTAAGTTTGTACAGTTTTTATTTAGAAGAGTAATATATTATATTGTTGCTGTATTTTTTCTTTTATTCATGCATTCATGTAGTACTACACTTCTCTTGTAAGAATCCAATGTAGTCAATTTTTAGCATTTGCATTGTATTTTTATATTCATTATTTCCTGTAAGAGATTGATTCACTCTTTATCATGTAAAAATACTATTCACAAGCTTTCTGGTGTCGACATTCTTGATTCAGAATTTTTTTTACCAATTTAAATATTATAATGAAAAGTAAAGTCAAATAATTTTAGTGTCAAAAAGCGAATTAAATTTACTAACAACAAACCAAAACTAGAATTTTTAAAGAAAATTTACAACTTGAATTTCAAAAAAAACTTTAATCAAAACATTGAAACAATTTTTTGTACTATCCAGATTTTTTTTTCCCTATATACATTATATTTATTATTTTTGTTAGTATTTATTTTATATTCAATTTATTTTTAATTAGAATTAGTTATCATGTCAGTCCTTTATATTAAAGATAAGAATTATATCATACGTAGTACCCGGTCTTATGGAATCCCCTTAGATGATATTCGTTCCTTCTTTATCCGTGGTACTCGATCATGGTCAGTTAGCATGCTATGGGAAAAACTCGAGGGTATTCTGAAAGACAAATTCAATTCAGTTATCAGTGATAAATATTTTTTTGAATTTCAATGATCACTTTTTCTTAGTCAAGGTTTATGGTTCAATGAAAGACTGGAATAAAATCTTACACATCTTAAAGAAGAAACTTTCAGTTACCTCAATTTCCTTTTCAGTTCGTAGTAGAAGGAATCACAAATACACTTTTTCCACACTCAAACGTAAAATTTTAGTTTCTAATAAACATCAATAATCAGTTCAACAATCTCATCAACAAACCGATCTTCAACAAGATTCCCAACGAGATTCCCAATATGAAAATATTCCAGATCTACAACAAACACATTTTCAACCTCAGCATTCAACAATTAATTCTAATAGTTCTATCAACTCTGATAACAGTTCAATAGTTGATAGTTCTTCAGTTTCACAGCCATCTAATAATTGTTCATCTAATTCCTCTGACGCATCATTCATTAATAATGATGACTTTAATAATAGCAGCAATTCTTCCTCATCCAACAAGCCTGATAACTTTTAGTTTTGTCTTAGTTGGAACACCAATGGATGGTATCATGAAAAGAGAAATAGTATTAGTTATTTCACAGCTATTTTCAAACCATTATTTTTATGTTTTCAAGAAACTGGTAAATGGTTCTGGATCGAATACAAAGTATCCTTGTCGTGTTACTTTACGTAACTATAGACAATTTTTCAAGAAAGCTGATGAATTAGTTCTTGGAATGAGAGGTTTATATTTAGGTTTTGACAATTCGTGTCAAGCCTTACATGAAAACTACTCAGGAAAGTATATTATTTCTATTTATACTTTTAGTCTTTGGAATAGATTCAAATGCTCGATTGGAAATGTTTATATATGCCTCATAGTCATCACAACATCTATGCTGATCATGCAAAGTTAGAAGTTCGCTTGTGGTTACAAACTCACTCATCCCATCCATCGATTCTTGTTGGTGATTTTAATATGTCTAAAGTAAAATTGTCCAACTGGTTATCAACTAATGGATTAGGAGATTGGGAAATTCTTCCGCTTAGAGGGTCGACTATCTCTTGGACTCGAGGTGATCAATCTTCCGACATTGACCATGTTCATGTCCATTTGAAGATGAAAGATCTTATTCACTCAGGATCATTTATAAATAATTTTTATCCTGTATCAGACCATAAGCCACTTCTTATTAATGGTAATATTATTCCTATGGAAGATTTTTCTAATGACTTTAATGTTTCTAAGAAAATTCAGAAATGGAATAGATTAAAATGTATTGAGGAAAAGAAATCTATTCTCAGTCATAATAAATTACAAATACATAATTTTGATCTTTGACTCAATGTCCCATTGGAAGTCAAATACAATTATTATACTTTAGTATAATAGTGGCTTTCTTACTTTAATTAAAATGACTCAAATAAATTATACCCAACTTTTATTCATTTGTGTTTATTTAAACATATTTTTTTTTTATTTTTATTTTTAATTTATTATATTACATGTATTATAATTTTAATTAAATTAATTAATAATAAAGTTTAAAATATTTGATGCCGTTAAAAAAAAAAAAAAAAAAGGATAAATAAATGATATTGCTACTTCTTTGTGAAACTTTCAGCTATAAATTGATAAGGCTGAACAAAAACATTTGAATGAACAGCTTTACAGTTTATCAAGGATCTCATGTTCCACCATAGATGAAAGGTCTTGTGGTTTTTCATACTAAAACAATCTCTATCATTATTAGTAGATCAATGAAGCTACTTTTTTGATCGGTTTAGTAAGACTATCAAGACGTCCGACGTCATACCGATATGGCAAAAAAACATTCTAAATGTTCCGTACACAGAGTTCAGTGATAGTATTTCTTTGAAATGAAAACAATATGAACTCATAGGAAAGTTTAGTAGACACCACACTATCCTACCTGATGTTACTTTTATTTTTTATTTCATTTAATTTATTAGGAAGGGGCCAATCCCACACAGTACAAGTTTCAGATATCATTGAACTTTTATGCAACTTAATTATTTTATTTTATATTTTATATTTATATTTTTATCTATATATATTTTATTATTTTTATATATTATTTATTATATCAATAATGAAATAATCTTAACTTATAAATAAATAATTAAACTTTTTATATTCATATGTATTTCTGTTGGTGTTTATGTTTGCTTTAATTTTAAAGAAATATGGTCATTCCTTATTATTACCTTTATTTTTTTTTTTTTTTTAAAAAAAAATGTAATGACCAAAATTAAAAGTATAAAAATTTCTATAAATTAGTTAATAAAAAAGATTTTTTTTTTTTATAAAAATTTTTAAATTTAAAAATTTTAACCCTTTTTGTTTATTTTTAAAAAAAAGTTGAGAATTTTATATTTATTTATTATTTTTAAAATATCATTCTATTTTCTTTAAAATAAAACTAAAGATTTAATACCTTTTCCCTTTTTCTTTTTCATTATTTTCGATCTTACCATTTTATTATAAAAAAAATTATATAGACAAGGTAAAATTTGAAAGTAAGCAAAGCTTGAGTAGTGTAGTGGTTATCACGCGTCCTTCACACGGACGAGGTCCTGGGTTCAAACCCCAGTTCAAGCATTGTATTTTTAGTTTTATATGACTTTCAATAATTTAACTGTTGATATAGTCAAATTTTAATAATAAAAAGGTAAAATGTTACCTTTTACTTATATTATTAAATATAATTCTAAAGAATAATAATTGTGAATAATTTATAATTTTTTTTTTTTTTAAAATAATAATTTTTAAAAGCGGACTACCAATTTTACAAGTCTTATTAAAAATATAATAAAAAAAAAAAAAAAAAAGGTCTTTAACATTAAATAGTACATTCAAATTGTACTTTTCTTTTTATATCTATCTAGTATAAATGTTTTAAACTTGAAGCACTATGTAGCGGATTAGTAAAGAAGGAATTTTATAACTTTTAATATAATAATTATGGTAATACACCAATGTTATAGATTGTCTTTTTGTGTTACAAAACATTTAGGAAATACTTTTTTTTTTTTTTTTTTTTTTTTTTTACCTATTTAATAATCGACTATACGATTGTTCACATCCTTCTTTATAAAGTTTTTTTAAAAGAAAAAGAAAATCTGTGAAATCCTCCTTCATTTATGAATATATTAAACATCCCGATGAATTGTGAAAAAAAAAAAAAAAAAAAACTATTCATTTCAAATTTGACTTTGTTTCTATTACCATATCAATGGGTAATGCTTTATAAAAATTCCATATCGAGAAACATAATATATATATATAGTAATTAGTTATAATAGTTATTAATATAGTTATATTTTAACTTTTATTTCAATAAGCTATAAATTGATTCTTCTTATATATATATATTTTTTGTGAAACGATCGTCGGTAAGAAGGTTAGTTAAAATGAAAAAGTTTTATATTCAGAAAATATAAAACATTTAAATATCCAAAGATTTATTTTGCATTAAAGATGTTGTTGTTAATACATCCAAACATCTGAAGCCTTTTTTTCCCTTCATAAATGCTACTATAAAAAAATAATTTTAATTTTTAGTTAATATGCTATTATCAATGCTTTTACTTATGTAAAGTTTCATTTCTATTACCGTTTCATAAATCACTACATACCATCCTTTCTTTTAACACCAACATCTATTGTAGTAAAACACTACAAAATAAAATTTACTTTTAAAAAAACAAAAACACAAAATTTCTTTTAAAATTCTTCAACCTTTTAATTTTAATGTTTAATAATAAATATTTTATTTTTATTTTTATTATACATTAATATAATAGATCAGAAAAAAAATTGTCATCAATTGAATATATATCTCTATATTCAGTGCTTGACTCTTTGATTAGATTCTTCATATTTATTACTTAATGTACACTTTCTTAAAATTTTTATTACCATATTAAAAAACTATTTTACGTTTAATAATAAAAACTTTAAATATATATATTTTAAATATACATTAAATATTATCAGAAAAAAATTGTCATCAATTGAATATAAATCTCTATATTCAGTGCTTGACTCTTTGATTAGATTCATCATTCTAATAGTTAATGTATATATATTTATATATTCACATTGAAAAAAATAGAAATAGTAATACGACTATTAAATCAATATAATCCCATATACACGTCATTTCCCTAAAACGTTTACACTCGTTATTTTTGTTTTTTTTTGTTATGCACATTAAGAACTAATGCACAATTTTTTATTATATTATGTAACATCCATTTATAGTGGATTTCAACATCAAAATTATTTGTATACAAAATAACTTAGAATTGGAGGGCGGCACCCTTGGTCTATATTATTATAATTAAATTATTTGATATTATTTTAAATTTATACAATATAATTTCAAAATTAATAAAAAAATTTCCATAATATTTTATAATAATATAAATAATATTTTATTTTCAACATTACCTTCTTTTCACCACCTAATTCGAAGTGCTTGCATCTCTTGATGGCTAATTGTTGCTTGTACTTACAGACGGTACATTCTAAACGAAGAACAATCTTCTTGGTAGTCTTAGCCTTCTTGTGGAAAACTGGCTTAGTTTGACCACCAAAACCACTTTGCTTACGGTCATAACGTCTCTTACCTTGAGCGAAAAGAGAAGCCTTACCAGTCTTGTATTGAGTAACCTTGTGGAGGGTGTGCTTTCTGCACTTCTTACCCTTACAGAAAGTTTTACGGGTCTTTGGGATGTTAACCTATTATGTCATTTTATTTACACATTAATTAATAATCTATAATATCATTTCATTCATCCATCATCATTTAATTAAACACATAAATAGTAATAACAATAAAAAAATACATTTATTCATTTTTAATTAATAATTCATTCATAAAAAAAATATTTACCATCTTGGATTACAGATGATATGTATTGAAAGAGGAGGAAAAAAGAAAGATAATAATTAAAAATCTTTTCTTAATAATTCTAAACTGTTTAAATTATTTTAACCAATCATATTGCATAAATTTCTCTTAAAAATCCAATGATTTTACAATTTATATATATTCAATATATAAATATATTAAGAAAATGTAAATAATTATATATAGTTTTTAATACATTCTACATTCTAATACGTAAATTATTATTACTGTAAAAGAAATTAAAGATTTAAAATAGGCCTTCGGACTTTTTATATCCTAGAACTTATTAACAAGTTTTTTTAATTGTTATTGTATTATGTTTAAAACCAATTTATCAATTTAATTGTATTTCCAAATTGTCTATATGAATTTTATAAATTAAAATTTATAATCCTTCTTTGTTATGCCAATCTTGGTATATTATTTCTGCTAGTTGAATTAAAATAAAAAATATCTCTGTAGTTACAAGAATTATTCTATTTTTAATTTCAATAATGCCATTAAAAAAAATAATTTCTATTCATATTTCTGATAAATGTTAAAAGTGAATGTTGATGACTTCAAATTAAGATGTCCTAAATTTAGTACACAAAAAGTAAATAATAATAATAACAATAATTTTTATATGTTTTATTATCTTGGATTCGCCTATTTTACCATGAAATAATTGAAAATTTATATAATATTCTTTACAAAAGCATAAATGAAATGAGGAATTAAAAAAGTTTTTTTATGTTATATTTTATTTTACTATCATTAAAAAAAGAAGTTTATATATTCATTAATTATTAATATAAAAAGGAGGAAAGAGAAAAAAAAAAAAAAAAAAAAAAAATCATAGAATAAAATGGATTATACATATATAATTTTTATCTTTGGTATTTTATTATTTATTTTTTAGAAAAAAAAAATATATATTGGTAATTAAAATTCTTAAATTGAATGTAATAAATATAATTTTATGAATGACGATATTGTTGAAATATTGTTATTGCCAAAAACTTATAAAATTTAGTGCTGCGATTTTGTATATATATAAAAAATGAAATGAAATAAGAAAAAATTGAAATTTTTTTTTTAACTACTAAATGAATGCTAATTTTCTCTATAAAACAAAATAGTAACAAAAAAAAAATAATTTATAATAATAATAATAATAATAATAATAATAAAAAGTATATAGAGGAGGTATTTTCATTATTATTTAACTTTTGTATCATATTTAATATTTGGGATTTTTTTACAATTTCTTTTTATCGGATCAAGAACAATATTGGTAACGTTAACGTGTAATGGTGTTTTTGTCAAAGGTAGGGAAGAATAGATTTTGAGTCTATTTTGAAGTAATAATGGATCTCTTAAACCATTTCTTGTTGTGACCGATGGAGTTTTTGATAAAATCACAGGATTTTTAATAGAATCTACCTTTGTAGAATAGGATGATCGTGGAGTTAATGATGATGGTTCAATAGCGGTATGTTGACGTTTTCTTAAAGGATAGGGTTTTGCGGAATCTATATTTGTAGAAGCTGCAGTTCTTTTGTAATAGGATTGAAGGAATAACATATGCTTTTCGATTAAATTTTGCAGGGATAAAATTAAATAGTTATTACAATTGACCTTAATAGTATTTAATTCAATTATATATTGTTTTAAAAATTCAATATATTCTTTAAGTTTAAATTGAATGAAATAAATCGTTTCTTGTTCATAAATATTGGTTTTTTTATTGAAATGAAGTTCGTTTTCCTTTTCGTCTTCATTACCGCTTTCTTTGTTTCGACTGTCCAAACTACTTTCACTATCAAAATCATCATATATTTCTGAATCCGTAGTGATATCATTTAAAGTTGTTTCTTGTTCATTATTATTGTTATTATTACTTTGACATTCTATTTTTTTGAATTTTTCCGGTTTTTCCAACTTTTGGTTTGAATCAGTGATTGAAATAGACTTACTATTACTGATAGAGGATCTCTTTTTCTGAATACTTTGATTCTTTGGTTTTTTTGTGGTTGGAGGTAATGGTGTTTTAATGTTCGGTAGACTAATTAATGTATTCTTTTTTTGAATTACGGAAATCGACCGTTTATGATTTTTTAAACTTGGTAAGGGAATAGAACATAAATTTAATGGTATATAATCACAATTCTTTATTGTTTCTTCAATATTTCGAATTATTGATTTTACCAAAAATAATTTAATTTCATTTTTAATTTCAATGGTTTTATTCTTGATAGTATTATGTTTTGTTAGGGTTTGATAAAATTCTTCATCATTATCTAATGACGAAGTTGAGGATGATCTTGATAATGATAATGATTTGTCATCGATTGATTGAAGTGGAGATGAAGGTTTTGATATAGGATCAAGGAAATCACATCTTTTTAACAACTTTTTTTCTATTCCTGGTATTTTGGAAGGTACATTTGAAGAGATGGGTGATATGGGTGGAAGAAAGGTTGATGAAGAGGATGACGATAAAGAAGGTAAGGACAATTTATTTGAATTCAAATTAGTATGATTGTCATTATCATTATTATCATCATGATCATGATGATTTGATAAAAATAAAGAAGGGATAATAGAATTTGTATTCAGGGTATTTTCCTTTTTTAAAGAAGAATTCGTGGTGGTGATGATGGTTTCGTTAACAGGATCAATTGAACTATTTGAAATATGT